CAGAGTCACTTAGATGAGATGGACAATGTAGAAGTGTGATTGATTGATTGAACAAACCAGTATGATCACTTTCTGCTCTTTTTCTGTATCTGTTTTATACCCCACCCACCATCATCCCAAAATAGAGCCTATGGCCTCTAGTGACATCACCACGTAACATTTACATTTCCTGTAGCCTTTGGAAGGAGCAAAAGTTTCAACTATAGCTGCAGTTTGCCTGCCTATTCTAACATTTATGATTCATTGTTCATCTTTATGCTGATATCCATATTGGCATATGCAACTGGATTGGAAGAAGGAGGTTCCCATCTTGTCTTACCATTGTAGCTGTAATTATTCCCAGCAAATTTGCTATGAAAGAAAGGGATCTTTGAAAAATGGATAGAGACTGTTTTGCTCAAAATCACTGTCAAAGCATTTTATTGTCTGTATTACACTCCTCTCTTATCTGCCTGGCTTTAAAATCACTTTGAAAAATGAACAGCATGCTCCAGGCTTTGATGATACTATTTTTATAAATATTTTTGCTAGACAATTCTTTGTGGCATGGGAGAACTACACATTGACATCATTCATGATCGAATCAAACGCGAATACAAACTGGAGACTTACCTTGGACCTCTTCAGGTTGCTTATCGAGAAACAATCCAAAACTCAGTTGAAGCTGCAGGTACATTAAATGTCATAGACCTGCAAATGAAGGACTTAAAACTGATGGCTAATTAATATTGTGCTAAATTGATTATTTGAACTTTGTGTTTGATATATTATTTGATTTTATTACAGATACACTGGACAGAACAATAGGAGAAAAGCGACATCAAGTGACGCTTGAGTTGAGAATTAAGCCATGGGAGGGAGAGATGCCAGCAATAGTACCAGTCATTGAGTATGCCGAAAGTATCAGTGACTTACTTCATCCTGACCTTCGTGAAGCTATAGAAAATGGAATTTCAACCTCCTACCTTCAAGGTAAGAGTTATTTCAGCAAATGTTTTGAAGGTACTATATTTGAATTGTTTGAAGAAATTGAGATTTTGTTGTTGTTAAGTGTGTGCCTACAAAGAGCAAGGCTGTCAGGCAGAAATTTGCATCTGTCCTCTGGTCCCTTTTTTTAACTGAAGATGCAAATGAACGAAACTGCTAGAGAGAATAATTGCAGCTTCTCTCTTTTTGTATTAGTAAGGTGGGCTTGAGGTGTTTAGTCTGCAGTCTGCAAAATGTCTTTGAAAAGAAACGTGATGATGCCATCTGAAAAGGTTGAATTGTCATCTACATGGTTGATTCAATGTAAAATTTTAATGTGTTACTGATATTTCATGTTGTAGGACCACTTATGGGATACCCAGTTCAAGATGTAGCAGTCACTGTCCAGTCAGTAGCTACAAATGCTGATACATCACTAACTATGGTTTCTGCATGTGCTTCTCGTTGCCTGCAAAAGGTATGAATCAAATAATCTTATCCAGACCAAGTAATAATTTTTTTGACCTTCTGTAGTTCTCTTTGAATTGGCATCATAACAAAGCTGTTGATGATATTTATTTTCCTACATTCAGAAATGGTGAGTCTGGGATCATGATGAAGAAGATGCATGTTTTCTCTTTTTAAGTTGCTGTTCTAAATTAAAATATTTTGTAAGCTGCATTGGGAATACTTCTTTTAGAAAATGGCATTTCATTAATCATGTTTTTACTTCTATTATTGTTCATAATTTGTTTATATGAAATATTATTTTCTGTATAGCCTTCATTTCAGGCTGATTTTCTGATGCAAATTAATACAGCATTAAGCAGATTGATGTTATATTGAAGATTTGTCTTAAGAAAATTGTAATTTTATTTCTTAGGCTTTAAAGAATGCTGATAAACAAGTCCTGGAGCCTGTCATGAACTTGGAAGTGACCGTGCCTGGAAACTATGTTGGTGTAGTACTTGCTGATCTTGCACAGAGGAGAGGCAACATAAAAGATATTCAAGGTCGCCTAGATAACCAAGTTGTGATTGCAGCTGTCCCCCTAGCAGAAATGATGGTATGTGTGAAATTGGCAGGAAACTAAAGTTGCATATTGTGGATTGTGAATACAGGGGAGTACAGGTAGTCCTTGACTTACGGCCACCATTGATCCCAAAACTTATATTGCCGAGTGAGTTTGCTCCTTTCTTGCCATAGTTGTTAATCATTGCAGTTCTTAAGTTAGTAACACTGTTGTAAAGTGAATCTGGCTTCAGAAGGTTACAAAAGGTGATCGTCACATGACCCTGGGGCACTGCAGTGGTCATGAATATGAACTGGTTGCCAAGCATCTGAATTTTGATCATGAGGATGTTGCAGTGATTGTAAGTGTGAAAAACTGTCATAAGTAACTTCTTTCAGTGCAATTGTAACTTTGAACAGTCACTAAATGAACTGTTGCAAGTTGAGGACTACCTGTAGTTTACAGCAAGGGTCCCCAGCCTCTGATCTGTGGACCGGCACCGGTTCACAGCATGCCAGAAACCGGTCCGTGCAAACAAGCGAAGCCCCATCTGCAGGATGCAGGCAGCACGCAAAACCACGACGCCTCCAGTTTGCGAAAAAATCTCTCTCCACAGAACCGGTCCCTGGTGCCCTAAAGGTTGGGGACCTCTGCTTTAAAACAAACCTGAAAAATTGAGTACGGATGGCAACATGTCTTGGTGCCTGGAGGCTGTGGGGGTTTGGATGATGACAAGAGGCTTCAGCTCCACTCAACCAGGGCAAGACTGAGTGGCTTCGGGTTGGGGGCTACTGATCTGTGAATTTACCACCTTTAGTTCTAGATAGGCTGGTGCTGCCCCAGACTGACCTGGTGTGCAGTCTGAGGGTCTTTCTAGGGAGTCATGACTGCTGCTCGATGAGCAGGTGGTGGTCATGGCTTGGAGGGTCTTTGCACAACTTTGGGTTGTGTGCCAGTTGCACCTGTTCCTAGATCAAAAGGCCCTATGCTCAATTACTCAATTATCCTGACCACCTCCTGTATGGATTACTGTAATACAGTGTGTCTGGGACTGCCCTTGAAGAGCATCCAGAAACTTCAGCTGGTACAAAATGTGGTGGTGTAGGGAGTTACTTGCACAACTAGATTAGGACCTGTTACATTTCTGCTCTGTGAGTTGCATAGATTACCAGTTTGCTTCTGGGTTCAGTTTAAACTGCTAGTAAAGTTTCAAAAAGCCCTACATAGCATGGGGCCAGATTATTTGAGGGACTGTCTTTCCCAATTACATTTACTTGTCCCACATATTTTTAATGTTTTTAATGATCTTTGTTGTTTTTGGTTATTTTGCTGTATTCTTATATGTTTTTAACTATGTATGCTGCTCAGAGATACATGAAACGAGCGGCTATATAATTAGATATCATTTGGGGTTCAAAGAATACATATTGTTGTGCAGTTCATCTGTGAACATAGAGGGGGCTCTGCAGACCCAGTCTAGAAATGCAGAGTCTAGAACAATGGGGGTATTGGAAGTTTATTGTTGCAGTATCTGTCACTATTGATCTGTGATGCCATTCACTGTTTTTCTTAAGTTTTTGGCAGTGCCTATCTGCAAAACTAGTGTAGGCTTTGTAGCACAGAGCTTGCCAGTAGATTCTGGCAGCACCACAGCCTCTAGTTTCCTTGGCTGGATGTCACAGTTGCATAAATACAGTGGTATTCCCTTTGCAGCCTCTTTGTAGTGCTTGTGTAGATGACCTCAAGGTCTCTTTCCTATTTTCATTTCACCATAGAGCAACTGGTGAGGTATGTGGTGGTCATGCATTCTGATATATAAATTTACCAAGTAAATAAATAAGAATATTTTTATTTTGAAATAGTAAATGCTACGTCCCAAAGTCAGAACAAAGCAGTCTCTTTTGCTCCAGCCTCAAAACAGAACTTGGCTGTTTTGAGCATCATCATTCCAGTCTTAAGAAACTACCACAGGTCAGGCCATTTCAGCTTCAAAGCAACCTTTTTATTTAACTCCTTTATAGAAATGACATTTCAAGCTTATTCCATGTATTTATTATCTGAACATTTTGAGGAGCTGGTGGAAGCTTCTCTACAGTAAAGTTTAATGTTAAAAAGAGCAGTTTTACTTTATAGTGATTCCTGAATGGAAAGATAAATGTCAGCAGGATTTTTTTAATGAGTTTGTCTCAGATCTAGACAGGCATTCTTTTTGGGCTGTATAGCTAATGTACTAGAGCATTATACCATCTGGCCCATATTCTATGCTGTCATATCGAATAGTTCAGTCACCACTGTCTTCTCTCTGGTAGGCTAACACTATTGAGTCTGATAAAAATCTCCAAGAAAATATAATTAAATCGCACACCCCTTAGTATATAAAACAGCCTCATTTCATATCAATTTCAATTGCAGAAGCATTTTATGAAAAAAATTGTAGCCTCACAATTAAACAAATTTAAACTTGAAATTGCATACAAAATATACTGTATTGTGTTATTGAATCACAGCTTTTCTAGCAATAAAAAAGTATTTCAGTTATATGTAAAATGTATTCTTCTGTCTTTGAAATAGTTTCATCTTTTCCCAGGGCTACTCAACAGTTTTACGTTCTTTGACATCTGGGACTGCTACATTTACGCTGGAATTGGCAAATTACCGCCCAATGAGTCTGCATGAGCAAAATGCTTTGCTTAATAAAAGGACTGGTTTGGCATGATGTCATGGAGGGCCACGGACTTGTTTTAATCCTTTGTTAGGAAGCAGTTTATGTTGGACTTAGAATGATCAAAGTATATATTGCTGGTGCAGCAGCCTATTTATACGTCAGTAGAAATTATAACATATAAATTATAATTTATCTTCGGAAAAATTGATGTTTTGTGACTACAATCAGTTATTCCACTGAAGAACTACAACTGCCTTTTCCCGAACTGTTATTTTGTTATATACAAAATATGCACTAGTATATTTCTGATCCGAGGGGTTATGTAATAGGATTTGTAGAGTTTTGCTGTTGTACATCTCTCTTTTCCTATATAACTCACACTGATACATATGTGTCACATTAAAATAAAGAATAGGCCCTTTTGCTACGATCCCTGATCAGAGGAAGTCATGATTGCAGTATCCAACAAACAAAGGCTGTGCTGCAATTCCACGCCTGTGGAGAAGAGAAAAAGGGTTTCTGAGGATTAATCTGGCCAATAAGTATTGTAAAAGGGGAGTTTATGTTCTTGTACAACCATTTAAAGAGCTAAGAAAGCAATTAGAGATTGTTCCCAGACTAAAATCTGCCTTACATCGTTTACATAACTTCAATTTCATGGCAGGATCTAATATTACTTTTTTGTTTAAAAAAAAAGGGAAATCAGCTGAGGAAGGACAAGTTAAAAAGAAGTGCATATGTGTGCTTGCATTATTTTATACCAAACACTTCTGAGTCATTCATGATTAAGTTAAAAACCATGAAATATTGGACAAATTCTTCAACTCAGAATTAAAATAATTTTTTCCAGCAGTAAGAAAAAAAAAATACAAGGTCAGAAAAATATAATTCAGTTTTTATCCTGCCTTTCTGCTTAAACACTTAAAGTAGCATACCTCAATTAATACAAAATATAAAATATGGCTGTAAAATACAAACAAATTAGAAACTTGGTGAAAGATAGCTTACTTATGCCATTTTCCTATATAGTGGGAGAATATTAATCTTACATATATGTTGTGAAATTTATCTGTTCATTTAATTATACTCTTGTACTTCCACAAATCTGACTAATGCAAAGAATGAAAATATGCATTTAAAGCTCCATAGATTATTTTCTCAGGAAAATGTAAATATCAAATTACACCTATCTATTTGAACCTGGCATTTAAAAGACATTTAAGCCAAAGGCATGTGTGGGACCATAGCAAATCCTGAATTTGGCTGAATTAAATTTAACATAATGTAACAATTAAATGTAAATGACATGATTACTTCATGTGCATTTATACATTCCCATATCCTTGCAAATCTTGTGAAGATTTATACAGCCATATCCAGCCTTCAAGCTACAATACCTGTTATGCTAAAATCATCTTTTTGCTCATATAAAGTTCATATAAAGAAGAGAGACTGCTTCAGTACACTCATTTAATAACAAAAGAGAAACAAGAAATTTACAAGGAGTTTTGATGACACTCCTTTATTAAACTATAAAATCTTAGAATATCTGTATCTTACCTAAGCATGCGACAACGATGTTGAGTAAGTCTTTTAGAAGCATCTGAAATATCGGTTACATTTTCACTGCTCCAAAGTCTCTCACCAACAGCACTTGCCCGTGGCCTGCAATTATAAGGCCAATGCAATTTTATTTAAATATTTTTTTAAAATCAAATGGTTAGTATTTATTTAAAAATAATAGGACTGTACCTGCAGCATTAAAAAGCTTTTACCTACTCGTTCTCAAAATGAAACATGGACCTTTTGTTTAACCATACTGAATTACAGGATTTCAGCAAAAACGTCACTCTGGCTTATGGGTTCAAGGTTACTTTCAGAATATAGTCAGACTAACACAGATATTTCTGCGTATGAATGGAAATGTGCCTTAAACATGCCTTTTATACAAGTCAGATTTAAATTAGGAAAGTATGTCTTGGTAGAAAAAAAGTTTTAGGCTCTGCATATATTGTATTACGAGTGCGCAAACGTAGAAAACCTAACATTTAAATCAAATTGGATTTAAATGTTTCCCAGTGATAGAATGGTACTGTGAAGCTGACTGAATATTCTGGAATCTGGATGATGTTGGAGAATACTAGATTCAGCATGCAATGCATAAACTGCCCATAACTATATGCCTTTTTGTATAAAAGAAGTTACGCATATTTGCCTCTGATTCTGTAAATGTCTCCCATCTGTAAAGGCAGTTTCTTATATTGAGCTCATTAGTGCTTCCTGTAAGGCAGTCAACCTTTTTAATGCCGCGACTCTCAACTGGTCGTAAGTCGAGGACTACTCAACCAGTCGTAAGTCGAGGACTACTCAACTGGTGCAGCACCGTTTGCAGAATGGGACTTTTGGTGGGCTCAGCAGGGCAGAGACAGCCTGGACAATTCCTATTGGCTTTTGAAAGCCAATAGAATTATACTCTATTCAAGAGAGTCTATTCTATTGGCTTTCAAAAGCCAATAGAATAAAAGGGAGCAGCACAGCTAAGGAAAAGGGGGAAAAAAATGGCGGACTGTGTTGTTTGGCGACCCCCGTGAAATGGTCATTCGACCCCAAATGGGGTCCCGACCCACAGGTTGAGAACCACTGCTATAAGGGCAAATACAGGTAATTCTTGACTTATGACCAGAATTTATGTTGCTAAACAAGACAGTTGTTACAATCTTTTTTGCCTGCAATGTGAGGATCCAAGTCTGAAAATTAAGATTCATTCCAAAACAGAGCAAATAAAGTTTATGTCTTGTTTGCCACAGTTAAGAGAATCACTGCAGTTGTTAACCACACAGTCTTTGAGTGAGTTGGCTTCCCCTATTGCAGGGGTATGCAACTTTGGCTCTTTTATGACTTGTGGACTTCAACTGGCTCAGGAATTCTGGGAGTTGAAGTCCATGAGTCATAAAAGAGCCAAAGTTGCCTACCCCTGTCCTACTGACTTTGCCTGTTGGAAGCTTGCAAAAGTGATCACATGTGGCAATGATGTTGAGAAAGTTTTTTATAAGCATCTGAAACGGGTTACATTTTCACTGCTCCAAACTCCCAACAGCACTTGCCCATGGCCTGGAATTACGCTGCGACTATCATAAATGTTGGTTGCCAATCAGCTGAATTTTGAACATGTCCGTGGGGATGCTACAAGAGTAGTAACTGTGAGGACAGCTTTTAAGTTCAATGGTTCCTTTAGTGACTGTTCAAAGTTACGTCACTGAAATAAGTGACTTATGACTGTTTTTCACGCTTGTGACCATTGCAGCATCCCCATGTTCACATGATCAAAATTTAGATGCTTGGCAACTGGTTCATATTTATGACGGGGTTATGTTGTCCTCTTTTGCGACCTGACAAGCAAAGTCAACGGGGAAGCTAGGTTCAAACTTCTTTCAGTGCAATTGTAACTTTGAATGGTCGATAAATGAATGGTTGTAAGTTGAGAACCATCCGTATATTAATGAGGAGAAGAAATCATTGGAAAATAGAGATTCGCAATCCTCTGATGCAAGGAAAGTATACACACATCACCATTTTATAGCAGAAACAAAAAGATTAGATGCTTAAATTTATGGAAGGAGAAGCAAGTGATGAGGTGTACCAGAGTCTTGGTGTAAGATTAGTTGCATCCACATATTCTCCCCAAAGACAAGCCTCTCCACCCAGTACCAGCTCCTTCTGTGATTTGCTTCCTGTGTTTAAAGTGATAAAAAAAAGCATTTGTTCATTTCCTATTTGCCATTGAAAAGAGTGTTTAAAAGGCAATCTTAAGGTAAATTAAATCAGTGTTGGTAATTATTTAAATTGAAGAGTATGATTACACAAACCATGGAATGTAATGGGTTTGTATACAAGTAGTCTTCAACTTACAACAGTGACTGTTCAAAGTTACGTACTGAAAAAAGTGACTTATGACCGTTTTTCATACTTACAAACATTGCAGCATCCCCATGTTCACAAGATCATAATTTGGCAACTGATTCATATTTATGACGGTTGCATATCCCGGGGACATATGATCCCCTTTGGTGACCTTCTGACAAGCAAAGTCAATGGGGAAGCCAGATTCACTTAATAACCATGTTACTAACTTAACAACTGCAGTGATTCACTTAACTGTGGCAAGAAAGGTCATAAAATTCACTTAATTATCTCACTTAGCAACAGAAATCTTGGGCTCAGTTGTGGTCATAAGTCAAGGACTACCTGTACACAATATTTTTTTCTTAGGCTACAAAAATTACAATCTTCACACGAACTATGAAAAGGAAACTTTCCTTTAATCTATCATAAGAAAGTACATGAATTTGAGCGCTAGTTTATTTAAATGAGAATATGCCACTCATGCACTGGAATCCAAAGGTATTAAAAATGTTCAGTCCCCACAGAAAAAAAACCAAATGCAAGATATTGACGAACCAATAAAGTTCAGTGGTTCAACACTGTAGTAGTTCTTCCAGTCCTCGCCATAACTGATGAGGTCTAGGTACCAAGGTGCAGCAAGGATTGCCTGATGTCCTTGTTTTGTTACTCTTGCTAATTCAAGTTCATACAAAAATTTCTTCCACACTTCAACTATTGTGTCTGGCTGCAGCTGAAAATACAGAAAATTATAGGGGGGGGTGGGTTTGTATTTTTGGGGGGGAACAGCATGCATATGATTCATTCCAGCATGGCATGGTGTTCGAGCAATTCTAAAAATTCAGGACAGCCTACCGTATTTGTAGTCCATTTTTTCCTCAGAACCCATAACAATTACCCCTTAATGTTGTTTTACAATATTTTTATCTATGAGAAGTATGTTGGGCTGAGAGAATGACTAGCTCAGAGTTGCCCAATGAGTTTGCAAGAGGGATCTCAACGTAGGTCTTATCAGTCCGAATCTGTCAGTCTAGCTATTATGCTGTGATGGTTTGCCTTTCTGAACTTTTCTAAATACATGCAGAAAAATATCACATCAAAACAGCCAAAGATAGGGGCTATCTTTATGTCCCATATCACACCAATCTTATCTGCTCTATATCATTTTCTAACATTCAAAAATATCTGTCATACAGAAAGGATGATGAAAGTCAGAAATTTTCCAAGAGATATTTTTGAGATGAAACCAGGACACATTTACACTGAAGCACAAACTGGTTTATGGAGAATACTGTATGGTTCAAGAGGAGAATTACACTCCCTATTTATAAACTTAGGCAAACAAGGAGCAAAGAGTTTCATTGATTCAGGTACTAGTGAGGCAATTACTATGAAGTAATGGGGAAAGACTACAAGTTCTGAAAAAAAACAAAGGCAATATTGTATAAATACAGTAGTTTCAACATTCTGTAAAAAGTTTTTTTTCCCCAAAGGGAGTTTCTTTTACTTTTCTAGCTCTCTGCTTGGTCCTCAGAATATTTTTTTCAGCTTATCATCTTTTACATTGGGTCTCCAACCTTGGCAACATTAAGACTTGTGGACTTCAATTCCCAGAATTCACCAAGGACCCCAAGGTGCACTTAGGAAAGTACTGTCCCATCAAAACCAAACATGAAAAATCCAAATTCAGTCAGAATAGCCACAATCACTGAGTCTTGGTAGGACTAAGCCTGAGTTTGTATCTCCCTGTCCAGACCTGAACAGCATCCATATATTGGATCAGGGCACTGAGAGCATCACTTGGGCAGTCTGGGGTCCAAATGTACAATTGAACTTGAAGTACTGAAACCAGGCCCCAAACCAATGGATGAACTCACTGAACAATTTCATATAGATATTGAACAGTAGGGCAAGAGCATTAAAGTCTGGATGTACTGTGCAATTATTGCACACTAAGTGTGATTCTGTTTAAATTATGAAGTGCCTAGACTAAATCAATAAAGTTCAGAACTCTTTAACTGCAAAGCAATCTGCTTGTTCAAACTAGCACCATCAAGACTAGAAGGGAAGCAACAACAAAAACAGAAAATGAGGAGAGCCAACCAAGAAAGAGAGGGTGTTGGAACCAAAAATACAGAAAAAGAAAGAGAGAAAAAAAAGAGAGAACAAAGAGGATATCAGAAAAAATAAATGGCCTGGGAGTTAAAACAAGGAAAGATATAGAAAGACCTTAGGGCATGAGGCTGTGGATTATATTCTTATCTGTTTTTTAGCTGGATCCCACTCTGTAAAACAGCATGTACCTTCTTTCAGGTCAAACTTCATTTCTGGAGTGAGATCATACTGCAAAGTTACATGTAGACCTGGGGTTATGAATTATCTACTTGGCAGAGATGTACAAAGAAAAGGCCATCCTATGCATCTAATTTTGCAACCCCTCTAAGCTCCTGAAATATATTTTGGAGGCAGAAGTATAGAAAGTTTTCCTTTCTGTATGGCTCATGCCCATGCTTCAACTAGTTCTTTTCTGGCTCACTTTGCTCTGTTCACCTACCCTCTGCCTCCTTTGAAATCCTAACTAGCCTCTCCATTCAAGACTTGACAAGTGGCTGGAAATTATTCAGTCTGCCTTTGTTCTCTGCGGTTTCTATTTTAGTTCCTTTGAACCTTACATAAATGTTAAGTTGCAATCTTCATCATCATGATATGCACTATGATGTCCAGAATGGCTATTCAATAATTCAGGAATTGTAGTCCTAATGCATTTGGAGGATACCAGATGAGAAAAGTCTGGATTATAATATTTTGAAGGCTGCTTTTTCTGAACCTTGGACAGAAGCAGCAACTGCCCTGTTCTTACTCATGTTTATACTTGTTAAACTTTTCTTGATTTTATAAATGAATAAAAAAAAATAGTCAGTTCTACAGACATTTTCTGATATACAGTATTTCTGCAGATGAGAACTACTCTCAGAATTATGATGGAACAGTTCACACAATTTCTCAGACCTTACCTTTGCTCCATCATCAAATACTTCCTGCCAGATTATGGATTTCTTGTTAAGAAAAGTCACAATGTCCAGCATTCTAGGTGCAAAACAGAACACTCATGTATTTGACACACATTCAATTGTATGTTCTCCTCTCAAAAATACCAATTTCAGCCAAGAACCGACCATCCAGCAACTTACAATAACTGGATATAAATATAGCCTGTAAAATTACTTTTGAACTTTTCAAATATTTATGGACACTTAACTTAAGGTAATAACCAAGATGGGATTTAGATTATGAGCTAAAAGAAAATGAAGTACATTCTGGTATATTTGCAAATAAACACTATTCCTGTGTGGTTGTTTTAATGTTGCTATATCCTTCTGAGTATGACAAAGTGAGCTTTTCTCATTTAGGTTTTATTGAGGGCTCTTCCTGGTACAAGATTATTAAGTGCTAAAAAGCACTGCTTTTCTGCTGCAAATTTTGAATGAAATTGACATATTATATTAAGATTTTATATTTTAAGAAGCAGCCGATGTGGTGTAGTGTTTAAGGCACTAGGCTAGAAACCTAGTGGCATGAGTTCTAGTCCCACTTTGGGCACAAAGTCAGCTCAGTGATCTTGGGACAATCATTTTCTCTCAGCCCTAGGAAGGAAGCAATGGCAAACCACATCTGAAAAACCTTGCTAAAAAAACTGCAGGGACTTATCTAGGCAGTGTCTGAGAATCAAACATGTCTGAACAGAAGATTCTTTTTTTAATAAATATATTTGGCCATGTGGGACAGTTAGCTAATCTTGGCTGTTTTTCATAGAGTTAAATAGTGTTTGAATTACTGTATTATTTGGGAGGAAATTACTTGTATGCCAGATCTTGAGTAATCTAACTCTGGGAATTTGAAAAAAAAATAGAAGAAGGCAATGGCAAGAAGGCTATTTTTCCATCATTGTCAAGAAAAAGATATGAATGTGAAAGTTACTAGGAACTGAGCTTGATTTGCTACTTAACATGTTTTAAATATGTGCATCTCATTATGTTTTATTCTCACAGCAAAAAAATAAACTGAGTTGAAAGAGATATCCCCTCTCTGCTCCATCATTTTAAAGCAGACATTGTTCCTTCCTTCCTTTTTTTCTGCTTCAGTTTCAAACCTACTGTCCCAAAGTCCCAATGGCTTCCCCTTTAAAATTATATGCTCTCAGAAAAAATGCAATAAAGTGCCATGTGCTTCCAATGGTTACTTTAACTAATCTAGTTTTCCACTATTCTAAATGTAATTTTAACTATTATGTTTTAGGTGCCTGAAATGGAAGATGAGATTGTTGCAACAAAGCTTACTTTTAAACTTTCATTTAAGTTACATTGATTGGAAATACATTTTTTTCCGATACCTAGTCAAGTTTGTAATCTCTCCTAGATAGTTTCATGTTTATGGTAGAAAACTTGCCTGTTTGATTTTCCCTCTCAAATTAATCATATGAAACTTTCATTGTTTTTAACTGCCAAAAAAAAAGCATGAAATGTGAGATGAACTGGGTCAGTTGTGGATAAGTTGATGTGAGTGTAACCTTTTCTTCTCATCCACTTTCATTCAGGAACATTTAATTCTAAAGGACAATATGTGCTCTTGATTTGAGTCTCCTATTTCAAAAGAAAACCTCAGTACTCCTCTCCCAGTTCCAAAGTAAAAAGCATGTTTAAAAATTCAATTTTGTTAGAAAAAGGGTGTATTTTAAAAAGCCAAAACCAAGAAAGGATATGGCAAGAATGAGTGATATAAAAAAAAATCATTATTTCAGATGACTTCTATTTGTTTTAATAGCACTTTCCTTTTATCATCTTTTAAACAAACCAAAGACAAACCATTCCAATCTGTCAGTTCTTCAAATTATACTAGGCCAGGAAGCAAACACTCCAAGAAATACTCAGTTTGCTGAAATAGGCTATAAGAACAGAAACTTGAAAACCTGAGAATGGTTTCTCTTCTCTTGCCTCTCTCTTGTACCAAAGAGTGTTAAGGCAGGGTGACTTTAAGTTTCTTTCTGTCTTGTTTTCCCAGGCTGAGATCATGTTCTTTGGTAATGATTTCCACATATCTTCTCCAAGGCCATATTTATGCTCCTCTACACAATCCTGCTCTTAAATGATTTTTTTTTTTGGGTGGTGATAAAATATGAGGAAGGTCATGAGGTAAATGGCATCACCTGAATTGAGCTTAGCTATTCTATAGCACATGGCTGGTTTGAAAACTCTCCTGGTCTACCTATTGAATTTTCTAGTCAGAAGAAGCAACTGTTGAGATTACAAAACACAGCATCTTTAGAAGAAATTATGAACTAGGGCAGTGGTGGCATGGGTGCCAAAGGCGGCACTCAGAGACCTCTCTGTGAGCATGTGCACTGTCGCCCTAGTCCTAGGCCTTCAGCTGGGCTTTATAAAACCTTTTTGCTTTAGGCCTCTGCCGCTGTGTGCAAAAAAAAAAAAAGGTTCAATCAATCAGTCAATTTCAACTTCTCAGGGGAAAAAAAATCTTGCAAAGTTGGAATTGATTGATTGAACTTTTTAGTCCCACCCAGTCTGTTGTTACCACCATAGCCAGGCCCAGCCAATGGGCCAGACCCAGCCAATGGGCCACACCCACCTGGCACTCGACGATGCATAAGTCGGTTTTGGGTTGCAGTTTGGGCACTCGTCTCTAAAAGGTTCGCCATCACTGAACTAGGGTCTACAACTATACTGGGTTAATGAATAAGACAGATTTTGCCTCAAAACCTTTGAAAATACCCAATTATTTAATTAATTCAAATGCACTAGATATAGAACTGAGCCAAATGTTCTACTCTATCTTCTTTGTCTTATGCAAACTCCAAACCCATCTTCTCCATCTTTTCCAGGATAGAAAATGGACAACAAAAAAGCAAAGAGAATAAAAAATAAAAAATAAAGTTCCAGGCCACAGCCAATAATATAAGGGGCAATCACAGATCATACTGCTAATATTAGGTAGGAAAACTGCTGGTTTTCGTGTGTTTTTCTCTTTTTCTAAGTTACAAAGGTACCCTTTCAGGCTCTCAAAATGTCACACTCTAGTGACATTGTTATGTCATTCATTCCAATCCCTACAATCCTCAGCTGCAAGAAGCCAGCCTGTCACTGGCCTTTAGGAAGTCTTGCTAGCAGCAAAAACCAAAAGCAGCTAGTGCTGAAACTGCACCCACCCCATTGCCAGCAATAGAAAAAATGTTGCGATACATCGCGACATGTCACATGACGTTGAGAATTTGACACCCCTGATTTAGGGGATTAAAGCAAGCAATAAAAGTAGTTGCAAATACATGAAGTAATCTTTCTGAAAAAGAAACAGACTCACTTTTCAATATAATAGGATTCCAGTTTAGAATACCAGAACCCAAATCCTTTCTTTTTCATGAACTCAGTTATATCAGGATTGGAATTCCTAAGAAAGAAAAACAATAGCAACAAATTACATTTCTTATAATATAGTATTAAAGTAGTAATAGAATAGAATGGATTTTGCACTCTAACGTTTCTTTTTAATCATACGAGTGGGGATTTAAACAAAATAATGCTGATATGAAGAATGCCTTCTCTGACGTGATAATAAGCTAGCTTTGGCCCACTGTTTAGTAAGAATAAAGCATTTGCAAGTCCCATTAAATTTTTGGCATGGCAATCTTAAGATCAGGATATTCAATGCATAAGCAATTGTCCTGTACAATACAATAATCATATTATTGTAAATTTCTTTTTATTTTCCAAAAGAGTTCAGTTTGTTTTTCAATTGAATTATATAGCTTATATGTTATAGTAAAAGTGTAAAATAATCTGAACTTATTTATCTTGGTTTGATTTTTTTTACATCTCAAAAATCTGGCATTTCAATTGGGTATGTAGACTTTCTATATCACATATATTTTGGAAATGTAAAGTTGTACATTTTATTAGGAGAAATACTTTGAAATATTCTGTATTCAGGAAAAGATCTCCACTTCAATAAAGCCACTGCCTCTTTCTAGGATTATATGGCTGCAGTTGAAGCCTTCCTTCAACAGCTCTGTAATCCTGGATATTGATGGGACTACATTAATGAGATGCAGATAAATGCTGCATTTATACTACTGGACTTTCTAAAATATCTCTTCCAAATCAAGTCTTGCTAATTGTATAATGCTAATATCTTTTTAGTTTTGGTGTCACACCATACCAACAACTGAAGTCCACTTCATCTCCTCCTAAGTGGATATAATCATCGGGAAATACAGTGCCAACTTCTTCAAATAATTTCATCATAAAATCATAAGTTGCATTCAAAATGGGGTTTATAGGTCCATAAAAGCCACTTGGATGTTTTCCACTGTAGCAAGGTGTGAGGATATCTTTTTCCCAGTATATAAAACAAAGACAAAAATAAAACAAAAGATATATGCTATTTTATTCTATATGAACTTGCATTTATTACATTGATTTTAAAAGTGTTTCCGAGAACTTAAATACGTTTTTCTTTGTAATGGCCCAGAACATAATCCTTTCAAGTGGAATATGACTACTGGCTAGGTATCAGATTTAGAAAATAATGACTCATAAAACCTTTGTATTCACATGATATGATTTAGCTATTTATTCAGTACTTTTGTCCCGAATTCAATTTGTTTCCATTTTCTGAATCTCTTAATGATAATCACTGAAATTGGCAGAAACATGTACCTTATTAACCCTCTAGAATGGGTAATCTTTTGTTGGCTGGATGGTTGTAATACTTTTTGGAGGATAGGGCAAAGGCAACAGTAAATCAGGGTACAGATTTATCGAGAGCAGTGGTGGCGAACCTATGGCATGGGTGCCAGAGGTGGCACTCAGAGCCCTCTCTGTAGGCACGTGCACCATTGCCCCAGACCTAGGCCTTCAGCTGAGTTTTATAAAACCTGTTCGTTTTAGGCCTCTGCCGCCGTGTACAAAAAAAAAAAAGGTTTAATCAATCAGTCCATTTCAACTTCTCGCGGGAAAAAAAAAGATCTTGCAAAGTTGGAATTGATTGATTGAACTTTTTAGTCCCACCCAGTCTGCTGTTACCACCGCAGCCATGCCCACCCAATGGGCCACATCCACCCAATGGGCCACACCCACCTGGCACCCGTGATGCATAAGTGGGTTTGGGGTTGCAGTTTGGGCACTCGGTCTCTAAAAGGTTCGCCATCACTGATCTAGAGGGACTTATACTAACAAGGCTGGATGTTTAATGTTCTTATTGGGTAAGGGGGAATGATTAGGAATATTTATTTTTAAAACTATGTTAATTTTATTTAATGGCTCATGCTACAGTTTATGTGTGTTCTTTCTTCAAAATGACAGGGAAGCAATACATGCTAACAGTTTTCACAAATTATCAGAGTGTTGAATTGGGTTCCCTGCCAGGACCACAGGTCAACTATCTTGATCTACCTTAATACTGCAGTGCCAAATCCTTAATACTGCAGTGCCAAATCCAGTCTAAATATCTGGCTGGCTGTGCAATCTTAATTTATTAAATTTGTATGCTGCCTGAATCTCAATTACAATAAAATCAATAAAACATAGAAGATAAATAAAAGCAGCTGAAACCCTACCTATTCTTTTTATTAGAAGATATTTGAAATCTGAACACAACTAAATTATAGTCAGGCAAGACTTGAATTATATAACAACTTAAATTAAATTTGAATAATGTTTCATAGTAAAGTTGTATCTGTATTTAGCTACTAATCTTCCTTTTTTCTTTTTTGATTCCTATTGCAAGCATATATAGTATTTTCAGTTTGCCTTTTAGAATGATACACATTTTACCTTTTCTCCAAGACTGAGTATGTCCTGGCATATCAAATTCTGGAATAACTCTAATCCCTCGTAAGCGAGCATATTCTATGACATTATGAACATCAGTGGGAGTATAAACATGGTTGGGAGTATAAGCACCCTGTGGAAATAAACAAGAGGTTGCATTTTTCCCCCAATACTCCAGGAAAATGTCAACAAGTGAGAAGAGTGGTTAAATCTAGGAGCAATATGATATTACAACAGTCAAGCACTAGGATATAATCCAGATACAAGTTATTTTTTGAATGAAATTAAGCACAAACCATTTGTACCTTTTACTGATAATCAGTAACCGGAGTCATACTGACTAAGACAAAGTGATCTATCCAAGGTCATTTTCTCTGAAATTCTAGGAGAAATTAATCTTGCCTTCCTATGTATTATTTTTCTGAGTGACTATGCATCTGTTGAGGAGCTGGCAAATGACTTTTATGGATAAAAAGCTGAACATCTGAAGATCTAGCCCGTGAAACTTGAGGTTGGTAATTGAAAAAGGCAGGTAAGATGTCTTTGTGTTATTTTTATGGTTGATAGGACATCATTGTGTCAATAGGAATAAATATGCTGCTCTGTCATTGACATAACCCATGTCAAATAAAAAATTGTTACAACCAAAGGCCAGCACCAAAACAAACAAGCACAAGCAGACAAATACAAAAAGAAAGACAAGCAATAAATATAGGAATAATTGAGTCTTCAGAAAGCATTATATGCCAATTCACAGAATTTGGTGACATTGTAAGTCACCCAGCAGTCCTTATCAGCTAATTGTTAATAGGAATACTGAACACTACATAGTAATCTTTTGACTGCCTTGGCATTATTACTAAAAAGAAGAAGAAATTAAATGTTGGCTTAAGGCCAAATAAAATCTACAGTGCAAAATTACATTGTAATAAGGAACTAGGTGGTAGGTTATAGAAGTTTTGTGATATCTGTCTTAGCAGGGCACGGAGAAGAACACTACAACAACAATTAGACATATCACTCAACAAATATATCTTCAACAAACATTTCATTCCGGGTCCTCTCTCAAACAGTCAATGAGTATGCTGAAGCAATAAATATGTGCAATATTCAGTGAACTATGTTTTTTTCTTCCAAATTAGTATGTTCCTCTAGTGGGGAATGCTCCATCTTCTGTCTTGCCAAGTTTTACACTTCTCCCCCCCACAGACATCTGTGGTTAAGGGGGGGGAGAGAAAAAGCCCCCCCATATTTACCTAGGAGTCAAACAATTCTTCTTCTTGTTCAGACACAGATGAGTTTTAGCAACATAAGGCTTGAATTAAGGTGATAATATATAATATTGTACAGATAATTCTCATTGAACAACCACTTGTTCAGCAACAGTTCAAAGTTATGACAGTGTTCAATGAGAGGGATTTATTATCGGTCCTGGTAGCTGTAGTGTTCTTGTAATCATGAGATCATGATTTGGGTGCTTGACAACTAGCTCACAATTATGATGATCACAAATGTCTCATGGTGACATGATCACCATTTGTGACCTTCACAGCCAGCTTCTGACAAGCAAAGTCAATGGGCAAGTTGGAAGAGGTGCAAATGGCAATCATGTACCTGCCAGGCACTGCTACCATGCAGGATTTGGGATTCTGCAATTGCTATTGTAAATTGTTGTGGTCAAGTGACATTGTGCTTAATGATCATGTAGTGATGGAGTTGCTGATCTCAACTGCCATTGTTAACTCATTAGATTTTATTATTGTTTTTCACTGAAAGCTTAGTGGATAGCACAAATATTCAAAATTGTGTACCTGAACTAAGAAAGTTTAATTGTGCTGACTGCAATTGTTTTATATTATTCTTTAGCTGTATCTTAGTTTTAGGATGTTTTATGTTATCTGATGCTGGTCAAGCATCAAAATAATGTAGTTTCATTTCCCTTCAATAAATTATAAATTTTCTACTCTGTTGCAGCATTACCCTGAATTACTATTTCAGATTTTACAGGTTGAAAGTGTCCAGATATGTTGGCCCATCACTCCCAGTCAATATGGTGGCCCTAATATATCTGAAGTATGTATGAAATAGGTCTCTGAATTCTATTTTTTAAATACTTTCTACAAGATTTCATATGTTCTTACTTACCTGGGCACTCAATTCTGGAAAAGTGGTACTTTCATAAGGAAAGGAAGGGTCATCTACAATGTGCCAGTGCAGGACGTTGAACTTATTAAAGGCCATGGCATCCTGTGATATGAAAGACAAGATGATGTTTTAGTGATGCATGCTATATTAAAAATTAATTTATATATGTGGGAATTTAAAATCTGATTTCTACCATCCCTCAATGAGAACAATGTCATCATTGCGTCTATAACTATTGAATTATTTCTAGGCCTGAGAGAACTCAATAGAGAAAAGCTTTATATACAGATACTTATAGTGTCAAGGTTCCGATAGACAAGACCAAATAAATAAGAACTCCGAAGCCTGAGCTTTCCTCAAAGAACATGTTTATTGATTACATAGTATTTGCATGGTCAAAAGTGAAACCAAGTATGAACTTTCCACCCCAATGCTATGCAATCAGCTATGTTCCCCAATAGAACAGTTTGGCGGGCTTTCTAACCAAATGGTCACCCCCCCCCCCATCTAACAGACCGAAATGACCTTGGCTCCCATGGGACAGTAAAATGTTTAGACTACTAGAAATCCTCCACACACCCTCCCATTCTTGTGGCAACCTAGAATGAGCGAAATGGCTGCAGTCAGGTTTGACTAAATAAGATAGCTGCCAAAGCAGGTATTTATTACAGAGCTTTCCACATGTTGCTGAAATGCATAGACATATATTAACTATGTAGATGTCTTTACAGTGTAAAATTCAAGCCTTAAATGTGTTCCTCAAAACTACATGAGTTCTTGCCTGTATGTTGTGGGTCCCATTGATTAGGGATTGGCATCTGGTGGGACCATGAAAAAGGGTCTTCTCAGTAGTGGCCCCTTCTTAATGAAAATAATTTCCACTGAGGTACAGCCAGCCCCAACTTGCTGCTTTATCATAAGGCCCTAAAAAAGTGGTTTTGTCAGCAGGCTTGGGGATCATGAGTGGAAACTGACCCAATTAAATGGTTAATGGGAAGAGGTAATTTAGGCCATCAGGTTCTCCCTGCTCAGTGCAGAAATCTAAATTAATATATTCTTGTCAGGTAGCTGTCTAGATTACACTTAAATGTACAGCAAGAGGAGCTTATCACTTTCCACAGTAATTAAGCTTACTGATTCTTATCTTTATGACATTCTAAAAGTCTAAAGAACCTGCCTTCTGTAACTTAACACTTTCTGCATCCTGTACTCTAATTGAAAGAGAACAGATCTTCTGCTATTTCCCCACCCCATTCCCCTTTTCTCATAGGCAATTTCTTGTGTTTTATTCTTCTGCCAAATCCGTTCCAGTATGGAGCCAACTGTTTCATGCCATGGCCTCATTTCACTGGCCTTTTTTCTTTGCTAAAATCCAATAGCCATTCACTCTTCAGTTTTCTAGGTCATCCTTTCACTGAATGAAAACATGTTTATGGATCTTGGATTTTGCCTTAGGACTATTATGTGCAAAGTGGTTTTACTGATATACCTTGTTCATGTGATCCAGAATTTTAGACTTCATTATTAGTATTCTAAAAGGTGACATTAGCATTCTCAACATGAAAGTTGAAGCCTCTTCTCTAACTTTAAGAAAGCATGTTTTTCTCTTCTCGGCCAAGTCAATTTCATTTGGTCTGTGAGAACTTGCTTTTTCAGCAACTATATCATAGAAAGTGCATTCTGGAAGTCCTGGGAAACACATGCAAGTATTAAGACTCAAACTCAACTGGAGAAGGAAATTTATGCAACCCATAAATCTGAGGCTTGAACAATAGAAAACACTGATTCTACATAACATTACACAAGTGGCAAATTTATGGGTTACGTAGTCAAGTTTGATTCCTGAGTTTTGCCTGAATTTCGAGGCAACACCCGTAACATTATAATTTCTTCAAATGGATGGCATTTACATTAAGGTCAGTAAAAAAGCCCGTCTTAAAGATAATTTATTATCCAAATCTGTTATTAAACATGTAGGAAAGGGTGTCTTTGTTATTCCAAGCTATGGAATCTGCTCCCTTTGAAGCTGTACACAGCCTCCAATCTTTCTACTTTCTTTAATTAATTAATATGTTTTAATTTGATTTGAATTAGGGATAGTTCTTGACTTACAATCCCAACTGGGACCAGAATTTCCATCGCTAAATGAGGCAGTTGTAAAGGGAGATGTCACATGACCACATAGCAACCCAAGTCCCACCTTTTCTGGTTGCTACACTAGATGTGTAGTTTGTTAAGCAGAGGGAATCTCACGTAAGTAGGGAAGAGCCTGGGAGCCTTGGTGCAGGCCATATACAAATAGAGAGAGTGCTGCAGTGTGGTATGAATACAGAGAGGCTGAGAAAGAATAGGCTGTGGCTCAGGGGATTCTTGGTGTGCCATGGCTCTAGAGCTGCAACAAGTCCCTGAGCTGCAGTGCAATTCAAAGCCGCAGTCATTTTGGAAAGTCTCAGCTGCCCCAGCCTGGCCCAGCAGAGCGGCACAAAGCTGCCGTGCTGTGGGAAACCTCAGCCACCACAGCCCATCCCTGCATAATAGTGTAGCATGCCTCAGCCCAGGCGCCCTGCACTCCATAGGCTCTGCCATGCCCTGCTGACCTTTACCACTTTCCTCCTACTGTTGGTGAGGCACACCCAGCCTGGCCCTACTGTAAGCAAGGAAACTGTTGGCCATGCTAGGACTTTTTCCCGAGTCCACTTATGTGCCCCATTATCATAATCCTTTGGAAAATTTGTGAGGTTTTCTGAAGCATCATGAGAAAGGGGCATCTGCCATTCTCTAAATAGTGCATATGTTCCCACAAGACCTGGGAAAGACCTCGGAAGCTTTCTGAAGGCTCTCTGGAGCACTGCGAGAATGGGGCAGAATACATGGAAAGATGTGCTCGATTTGAAGAATTGAGGAGTTCACCAGTCACAGGTTCACCTGGGCTGCCAAGTGCCTAAATTTTGATCACATGATCACAGGGGTGCTGCAACAGCTGTAACTTCATTCAATGCTGTGGTAACTTTGAATGGCCACTGAACAAATGGTCATAAATTGAAGACTACATGTCCTTAAGTTTTTCTAAAATTATAAGCTGCACTAAATGCCCTGTGGGAAGGTAGGCAAGATATAAGTTGAATAAGGAATGACAGTGACAACAACAGTAAATACCATAATGGAATTTTAAAGTAAAAACTCATTCGCAACATGCAGAGATTAATACACATATCTTATTCATCTATAAGCATTGGTTTTAAATGCCTACTAGAGCTTTCTCAACTATAGCTTTATATACCAAGCTGACTCAGAAGTATATACCTGGATCACTTACCAAATTAGTTAGAATAACTTTCAGTGGTAGGAAATGTCGTGATGTATCAAGCAAGATTCCTCGATATGCAAATCTTGGAAAGTCACTTATGTAAGACTCATTAACAAAATACTGTTGAAACAAACAAAAGAGCCATGTCCATGCAAAGAATATAACAGATAATCAAATTTGACCTTTGCGGTAAGATACATTTACTTCAGGTGTTAAACGTGATTTCCTAGCATATAAAAGGTACCAAATAGATTGCAATACATTTTACTCATAGACTTCAAAAATTATGTATTTATATAAATAAAATTACTGCTCTTCCTACTGTTTGGAAAGGTTATTCTTTATTACCTGCAAACTAATTAATAAATTAATATATATGTTATATTCAAATATAAACACTGTTTAGTGTAAACATCATCATAACTGTCACTGCCTATGAAATGGGGAGAGTTGTCCAAACAACCAGCCAAATATAGGACTCCCAGTTTAGTCCTACCAGAGCAAAAGCAATAAATAAAACACCAATGAAGGAGAATATTTGTAACTCAAGGTTGAAATGATATATTACAGATAAATAAATAAAAAATAAGTTAATAAACAGTTAATAGAGTTTCAGCAAAACTATAAGAAGCTAGTGCAGATTCTGCAGTATTGCTTTATTGTATTACAAATATTTCTCTTAATAAGTAAATGTATGTTAAAATATTACCTCTCCAAATAACTTCAAATCATAGAACAGCGACATCTGGAAGTGCTAATGCCAAACCTGAAGAAAATAATGTATTATCTGGAATACTCACACTTCCACAATCATCCTCATATAATAACTGGCTGAAAGTTTCCAGACCTGGAAAGAGAGAAAGAGAGAGAGAGACATGGAACTTTAATTCTGAACTGGCAAAGAAATATTGTTTTGAAGCAATTATCACTTCAGATATTCCAAAGAGGTTTAAATAAACAATGGGTCTTGTTCCTAAATTTCTAAACTTCTTTTAAAGAGGGAAAATGGAAAGACATAGAGTTCAATGGGACTTATTTGTGGCACAACCTGTATCTTACTTGCAGAGGACCCCTTCTTTTGAAAAAAATGAGAAATGAGAGAGGAAGAAGCACAAATCACTTTTAGTTTCTGTCTCATCTTTTCCTCTGAATATCTGCAGTAACAGCAAAGCTATTAATGTTTTGCAATCTAATTTAGATTTGCATGTTTCCAAATTCATTACAGTATGGATCCCATCACAGATGGGTTACAATAGTCTATACTCAGCTTTTAACATGATCCATATTAAAAAAAATCAGCTCACTGTTTGGGAGAAAAGTCAATATAATAAAAGTTTAAAGTAATATAAGAGTTGGGACTATATGCAAAACTGGAATTTGGGTCACCTAATAAAGTTAATTTACAACAGATTTAGGAAAGATAAATGTGTTTTTTTTAATGCAATGCATAGTTTGCAAAGCCATTGCCACAGACTATGCTGACACTGTCAATAGACAGTTTTCAAAACAGAGTAAACATTTGTAAGGGCATAGATTTATATCAGTATTAACCATGATTGCTAATGCAGGAAGATGATTTTTCGAAGTGATGCTTGGACCATCATAATAATCATTATGATAATTAATAATTATGATACTTCATTAAAAATAATAATAATAATAATAATAATAATAATAATAATAATAATAATGGGTGAGTAGGGAATAGTTTCATCCTCTGTTACTTTGAGACTCACCTCTTAAGACTCCCCAAACTTTTTCAGCCTTCAGCACAGACGTGGGCTTTGATACTTGGAGATGATCTTAAAAGGGAAAAATATTTAACATGGAATTATTATTTAGTAAAACAAATAATTAAACAACCACTTACAAAATTAGCACTTTGTTGCACACTGACTACTTATATGTGGAAACGAAACGTGGAAGCAGTTGTTTTATAGGTCTAATGAAAGGAAACTAAGCCAATACAAGGCAGGTCACTTTCCCACAACAAGCAGCCTCTAAGGCAGTGGTTCTCAACCTGTGGGTCGGCACTCCATTTGGGGTCGAACGACCATTTCACGGGGGTCACCAAACAACGCAGTCTGCCATTTCTCCCCCCCCCCCTTTTCCTTAGCTGTGCTACTCCCTTTTATTCTATTGGCTTTTGAAAGCCAATAGAATAGACTCTCTCCCCCCGTTTGGGGGTTGCGGCATTAAAAAGGTTGAGAACCACTGCTCTAAGGAATACCAATTTCTTGATATCAGGTATATGTTACTTGTTATTTCCCAAAGCGAATGAAGTTGCTCAGGAAACAGATTTGTGAACCTGATTCACCCCTCATTTGTTTTTGCAGTGGAACAGGGGAAATCAGCAAACATTTCTAAGAAGCTCACAGTACTGTATATGGCTACAATAGTTTTCTCCATAGATGGGATCAATAGAACTCTAATGCCTTTCAAATATACTAAGGTTTCTAGCTAGAGTGCAAAGACCAAGCACAAAGAGAAATGTGTGCAGTATTTCCCTATTTATGTCCATTTGCAGATACATTGCTCTGAAAAGGAACTGAAATTTCCTCCAGCGTAGAAAATGTTCAAGGCCATTCATTCACAGATACCCACATCCCTGAATAGATTAGGAAAAAAAGCAATGTTAACAGGACGACAATCAAGCTGCATTCCTTCTACTGAAATTCAGAATCCTTATAAATTCAGGATTACATTATCCTCACTTCATAGGGAAACTTTAATATTTTATTAAAAATAAAGCCTTTAATGAGACAGAAACATTTCCAAAATCAGTGCACTGACTCCTGAGCATGTGGAATACTAATGAATTGTATAGGGAGGGAGATGAAAAAAGATTCAGAATGAGGAAATGAATAACATATCTTTGAGAAGGAGCCATCTGATAGAATACTGAATTTTATTGCCAGTCCCATTTGTGTTCATCAAATATTTCAAGTATCAAAATATATACATCTAATTTGTGCCGTGAATTATTTGCTTCATCTCCATCCATCTTTATAACTAGATAAGCTATGAGTAATGGGTTGTGAAAATGACCTTGGGAGTCAGCAGGAAGAGCCACAGCCTAGTTAGCGGTCAGACAAAAGATGTCAGGCTACAAGGAATGGGAATGTGGGAAATATCTCAGAAGGGATCCTCCCTAATTCTCTGGAAAGTAAAGGCAGAAGTGCTTTCAGACATGCAAGATTCTGTTATTGTAACCTAGTGAAGCTCATGATTTTCGTTTCTTATCAGAACTACCTCAAGGGGCTGACACTATATAACTGTATCATAAATACATATATTAGTCACAATGAGTCTTATTAAAGAAATTTTGACCTGCAATATTGTAATATTTTATTCAATTACTCACCAGATAAAATTATTAGATAAGAAAGTGGTTATTACAGATGATTAAAATATCGTCCAATAACATACCCATAAGATGCAAGAAAATAAGGAAGACAGAAGACAGGCACAATTTTGTACACATTTATATTTCAAATACTCACAGGCTTCATCTGATGTAATACTAGGGAATTTATCACATTCAGAATCCTTTGAAGTGATAATCACCTGAAGAAAGGACAATTCTGTTTCACATAGGGATTTTTTCTCATTTCGATTCTGCCATTTGGGATAACCAAACATATATTCATAATACCTGGAAGTAAATTCAATGGCACAGAAAAAATGTTATTCAAAATTTGCTTTCTAGCAAGTTTGTCAGAAACCAAAGAAACCCAAATCTAATAATTAAAAAAAGACAAGCTACTGTTATTTTTTTCATAATAGAAAGACAATATAGTGCTAATAATTTGGGTTATTTTAACAAGTTTTCAAATTATTTCCGGTCAGAAATAATTTCCTTGAACATTGATTCCCAAAGCAATATGTGAATCAACAATGATTTCATCACATTGAACCATGGCTTGTTCTAACTATAATGACTGAATTCAAACATTGAACTAAACTGAAAGTCAACAAGACAAGAAATAGGTTAGCATAACTGTATAATTCCCAATTACTGAAACAGAACTGTTAAGTAGATCTGAACACACCAATTCTGTGTTAGTATGTGTTATGTCCCGAGCCTTGCAAACGGCTCGGGCGTTTGCAGGCAGTCCCGGGCAGGTGCAAAGCTGCCCAGGACCAGACAGGCTGTCGCCAGCGCCGTGCGCATGCGCGGGTGCTGGCGCGGGAAAAGTAACACATTTACCCGGGAGTTGTCTATATAAGAGGCTGCGAGCGTTTGGGAGCAGCAGAAGCCATCTACTTGTAAGCTGAACGCAGAATAAAGAAAACTGAGAACTCCAACTGCTTCTCGTGTCTGCTTTTCGCCAAGGACTCAACACTGGCGACGAAGGTGGGATGCCTTACACCGCCTGGAAAGGAAGAAGTGTAAGCTTACCCAAGTGAGTCCTGAGCGGCGGAACGGCGTCGACTCGGCAGCTGCCCGCCAATCCAGTGCGCATTCGGGGGTGGGCTGGCTGATAGACCCGTCTCCTGAAGATGGCGAAAATTGGAAGGCTTTCGGAGTTCGACGTCTCACATCCAGAGCGGTGGGAGTCCTACATAGCCAGGGTGGAGAACTACTTCAAGGCAAACCAAGTGAGGGAAGAGAGCTTGAAGGCTGCCACCCTGCTTTGTGTTTGCGGTCAAGACGCCTTCGACATCGCAGAAAAACTTGCAGCACCTGTTCCAGTAGAGTCTGTCAGCTACGCAGATCTGAAGAAGCTACTGAAGGAGCACTTCCACCCCAAGATGTCCGTCATCGCATGGCGCCACACCTTCGAGCAGAGGGATCAACGGTCCGGTGAGTCGGCCAAAGAATACATCGCCGCATTACGGAAGGCCGCCAAGCACTGCGAGTTCAAGGACCTCGAAGAATGACTGAGGGACCGATTCGTGTGCGGGTTAAGGCATCGAGATCTACAACAGAGACTTTTCGCTAAAGAAGAATTGTCCTTCCAAGATGCCTTAAGGGAAGTCACCGCAGAAGAAGCAGCAGGCGGCGCTGTCAAGAACATGCGGCCGATCAGAAACAGTCCAGAGGTTGCATCCGTGCACCAGGAAGACATCCAAAGAAACTCCGAGGAGGATCCGGACGAGGAAGTCAACCGTCTCCACCCCACGAAGGAAGAAAATCAGAAGGGAAGCTCTTCAGCTCCGCTCAAGTGCATCGGCTGTGGAAGTCGCCACAGGAGAACTGACTGCAAGTTCCGCTCCGCTACCTGCCGGGCATGCGGCAAACAAGGACACATTGCAGCTGTGTGTCTGGGCCGACGAAAGGTACAACCTCAGGAAGAACCGCGCCTGAAAGGTACCAGATTCCCCAGCCAGAATAGGGTAGGGTTTTGCGCTTCGCGAAGAAGCATCCTTATGACAGGCACACACAAGCCAATTAAGAAAAAGCTGTCACTCAAGGTGAAGCTACAAGGGGTTCCATTATCTATGGAACTAGACACAGGGTCTGCCTTTTCAATTACCTCCTTGCATACATTTAGGAAGATTTGTTCCGGTAGTGGAACTCAGGCCAAGTTAAGGCCTTCTGACATTGTGTTAACAGAGTTTCAAAATTCAAGAGTGTGTGTTAAGGGGGAGGCCACCCTTAACGTGCAATACAAGAGTTTTGAAGGTCCACTAGACTTATTAGTAGTAGGGGGTGAACGAACGAGTCTCATAGGACTCGATTGGTT